TTTTTTCTTGCACTGGTATGAAAGAAACACTCGGCAGTGTATACATATTTCATGCGACGCAGTTGATTTAAGCTGATTTAGCTAATAGCCGAGCTCAATCAAACGTATGAAGTATGCAGTACATACCGGGCAGCAGCAGTGGGAGAGTGGCCTGTCGGCCGGCCCTTTTAAAATGTAACGAATAAAAATGTCACAGGTATACCGCAGTAAGTCAAGAGAGCGAAAAAATCCAGCATTAAAGATGGAGTTCCAAGTACAGCGAATGAATCAATGGAGGAGAAGAAGGAATGAAACATGGTTATTGAAAGAAACCAAACAAGCGTAGATGGATGTACGTAAAGTGGAGAACGATGTGTTGTGAGTTTCGGCAGCTTTAGTTATCTTTAATTTTACATTGGCGCTTGCTAGGTTGAAAATGTTTCGCAAGATAAAACACGCAACATCTATAGTGTGAATATAAATAAGTCAGAAAAAATTCCATAGCTTATACGGATATTCAAACATAGCAATTCAGCATGAAACACTTTAATGCAAAAATTATTTTCCGCCTGTGAGCTTGAGAGTTTTGTAAAATTACAAACGAACAAACTAATTTCAGCATAACTTCCAAATATGTATTGCAATTCGCAATAGTTAACATCAATTCGCTATGTAGTACAGCGTAACAATTCTAAAAAAAAAAACTAATTACAGCCTGTGCGTACGCGACGTATGAGTGTATAACAATACAGCTCAATTAATTCGCTTCAAAACTTACTAAAACAAAACTTTATTAACGATCAGTATATGTAAGCAACTTTTTGGTTCTATATTTTCATACTAGTCAAAGTACTCGTAATTCATCGACGACAAGCTTAGTGATTTTTATACCAAAAATATATACCCATATATATTTATATAGAAATACGTTATAAAAACTTATCACAATGTTCAAAAATAAATGTTTGTCTGCTAAACGAAAATAAAGAAAAAAGTGCATAATCAGGTCTTACTTTTGCCAACAATATGTGCAAAGTGGAACTGGGGCGAGAGGTATATGTTAAAGTTGTAATATATAATATAAAACAAGTTATGGGCCAATTATCCAGCCATCACGACAAAAGGAACAACGAGAACCGCTTGTCGACCGCCACACACTTCAGCAATCGCAGCCACTCCATACGGAAGTCAAAGGTGCATAACAACAGCCATTCAACACTGGAACCACCAGCACTCTCCGCTGCTGTCACCGGCACGGAGGAGTCATCACTGCTACGTGTTGTTGGCAACCCACGCGTTAAAGGTCTCGCCAATGGACGGCCAGTCACGATCAGTGAGATCGGCAAGCGTATCGAACTAAATACCAGTGATATTTTCGATAATAAAGACAACGATACGAATAGTGTTGGTGGCGGCTGTGGCATTGGCATTGGCATTAGCGTTAGCGGTGTTACCGACGATGGTGACGACACATGGTCCAACACGACTAGTAACTTGCAAATGTCCAAGTTGACGACGGCGACGGCAACATCAGCCACACCAACAGCTACTACACCCCTTCCATCAGCGGATAATGTTACAGATGCCGCGACCGCAACCAAGAAGACGACAACGACGACAGAGTATTTAACCATTGGCGATAGATATCACAAAACAAATAATTGCTACTATCGCAGTCCCAATGGAAATTTCCATAAACTGCCGTCAGATTCCTACCATAAGATGACTGATGGGTGTTATGTACGTACAGCAGATGGCACATTTCGTCGTCTAGAGCCGCCGAGCAGCGTCACAAATGGTGGTGGCGGTTCAAACGCTGGAAAATTGCATCAGCGCGGTGATGCTAGCGGCAGTTCAACACGTCTAAAAAATCATATGCTCAGATTTTTGAAACGTTCCAAAAGTCATACACCCGCAACCATGAAGGAATTGGAGAAGGAGCGGGGGAAGGAGAAAGATTTGAAGGCGAATCGCGGTCGAAAAGCGCGCTTTCCATCAACCATACAAGAAAATTGTCCCACATTGCCGGTGGGGGGAGGCAAGACACCCAGTGGTAGCATAGCGGCCGGTAGTCGTAATAATAAAGTTGTTGTTACAATGATGGAAGGTGGTGGTTTGCCGATAATAGCGACCAGCAAAGCGGAACGTTCAAGAAATAAAGATTCTGCGGCTGATGGATCGCGCAGTGGTCGATCAAGGGTACGTACTAATGTGTATATGAGTGCGAATATTATGTGAATGTGTGTATGTATGCATGAGTGCGATTGTATTTACAAAAATTTCAATACCATTTAAATATAAAGCAGTTGCAGTGCCGGGTTTTGGTGGTAGTACAGTATTTTCTATATACTATATTGTATATCTGACAATATCTTTTGGTTAAATTTGAGTATTTCCCATTGTAGTGCAATTTTCAGCGTACTTTGGTCAAACGTTTTGTTTTTTTTGCTTCAGTTCATGACTTTTCGGATCTCTACGTTTTCGAAATTCTGCGCCGTTTTGTTCGAATTGTTTTCATATCTAAATGGGAAATGTGCTCCATTCTGCAGTAGCGTGTGCAGACCTTTATCGTAATGGTAGTTGGGTTTTTAATTCAATTATTTCTATTTAAACAAAGTTTGGAACTTGCCCAGGAGTGAG